CACTCTGAACGATCTCCACTATACGTTTCTTAGCTTCCTACCTCGAGTAACACTTCCAGTCCAGTCATCTATTACATCCGTGTAACGCGCGGCACGAGACCCTGCCCGGCAACTCTTCAAGGCCCAAATAGAAGAAGAAAGAAGAAACGTGAGCGCGTAAGCGCGAACGTAATCCGGCCGGCCGGCCGGCTAGTACGGATTGACCCTGAACTTCAGCCGCTGCTTACGAGAATTTCCAGTAGCAGCCAGCAAACAGCGACAGCAACGTCGCCGCGACGGCGTTTGTTCAGCAACGATTTCCTTATTTAGCGATTTTCTCGGTATCACGCTGGCGAGTTTATTACGCATGCGAGTGAGCGTGCACACGGCTATGCATTGCCGCCGCACCGTGACTCTTACCCAAAGGGATCGCCTTCTTCCTTTTAGATTTCGCATGAAATCGTTTCCTGACTTCTCTCTCGTCTGCGGACGAAATCGCGATATCGCGTTTCCTTGGGTCGAAACGGCTCGCACGCGAAAAGCTCGTTACGAGAAAAATTGATGTCCTTCTATTTAATTTATCGTATTTACGACTCTACAACGACCGTAAAGATGGACGCGCACGATATTGAACGCAAGGAAGGAAAAAAATGAGAGGAAAATGGAAGAAGTTTTGGACGTCTTACTTTTTTACTCTACTCTACTTGTTCGTTTCCTGTTTAACTTTTACGTTTATTGTTTTTGTAACTATTAAATAAAATGTAGATATATATATAATATATATATATATATATATATATATATATATTAAACAGAAAAGTATTTCTATTATTGAAGAGATTAATTTTTTTCATCATTGTTTAGCTGTCTCTTAGCTTAATAATAGCTCTTTAAGTTTTATATATATATTTTTTTGTATAATTTGTATAATTATATACTTTGTATGATATCGCGATAATTTTTATAAGCTTTTTATAAGCGGTAATAAGGAATTAGTTTAGAATTGAATAAAAACGTATATTGAATTAAAGAATATATATATATAGATGAATTAATATGATATATCCTAGAATAAAAGTTTATGGTAAACTGGTATAAAAGCATATATTTTCATTATTAAATGGATTAGACTCTTGAGACTCTTACGTTTGACATTGCGGAATTTGTTTCACAATATTAGTTATACATTTGCTCCTTTTGAGAATACAACGTGAAACTTTCTCTCTATCAGCTTCCCTTGAGAAACCAAAGGAATGTTCGATCAGCCGTTAATTCTCAATTCTTAGCCGTGGCCGCGTTAAACTGTTGCAAATCTTCGATACGGATGAATGAGATATTTCTTGTACGCTCGATATCGTATTAGACAAATCGTTTCTTTTTTTTTTTTTTTTTTTTTTTTTAAGTATCAGTGTTATAAGATTATGTCGTAACAACAATTCATCAATTGTTTTCTGAAATAAGTGCTAATTAGGAACGAATTATGTCCGATTGACCGACACTTGGTGAGAAAACATTAAGCAAAACCGGATTATGCGGCAGAACAGGTAGTTTCTCTGATAACTAATAAGATTAGTGAAAATTCTAGTAAAACAAGACAAGGTTCGTAAATTACATTTGAAAAAAATTATCTTAATCACAAACAATTGCATCATAGTTTATCTTATATAATATTAATTTAATTAATTATATATTAAATAAAAATATAAAAAATATTAGAACGTTTCTATTCACATTTTTATGTCTGTTATCCAATTAATTTAACGGGAGATAAATCATAAATTATAAATTTTTATGAAATAAAGAAAATAATATAATATCTTGCTTGCTGACTATCCTTAGGATAGTCACTGTGGATGTAATTAAATATATGTAAAGATAAAATTAAAAGTGTGAGTTTAGGAATTGGAAATTTAGGCCGCATAATTAGATAATTGGCATGCCGCACCGTTAAACATTGTTTGACATGGTCAACCGAGAGCTGCGTAGATGTAAGAGAAACGTGAGAAACATGATCTTGTGACACGTCAGTGCCTCTTCCGCTGTTTCTAAGAGACCCGAGACACGAAAGGAGGAAATTAGTGTAACGAAGCTGTCATCGCAACACGCAAGGCGACAAGACCACTTATTGGGTTAAGGACGCGGGATGCATTTTTTATCGCATAATTCTTTTATTGCCATAATCGCTCACAGCTACAATCTTAATTCTTTTTATTAATAAATTTGTGTGTGTACACGTTAATTTATTATATTGCAGAAGAATAAGATGTATATACTCCTTTTATTTACAAATATTATTTTGAACTTTTTCTCTCTGGGATCTGTTTTAGATCTTTTCTCTAAACAAAAATTTAATCTAATTTTTAAGCACGTATCTCATTTATAATTTATAATTCATAAATTTTCAACGTACTGATAAAAAAGAAAAGCACTGGTATCATATAAAATTTTTACCAAATTTTAAAATACTCTGTATTCTATTGTGCTATTTGTCTATTCGTGATTCTCCATTCATTCCTTATAAATGATGTATTCGATGCAAATTTTAGATTAACGCAGAAACCTATCCCAGCATAAACGTTTCTTATTCATGTTTCAGACGATGTATTCTGACGGTCTCCTGACGCTCCACTATGGGAAACATCCAGCGACCTTGGCCGCAGAGGTCGGGGCCTGGTACAGCGGGGACCGTCACGTGGACGTGACCCTGGCATGCGACGATGGGTCCGTCGTAAAGGCTCATCGCGTAGTTTTGGCAGCAGCCAGTCCCCTTTTAGCTAGTCTACTTCGGAATCCTGCCCTAGACCACGTGGTTCATTTATCAGGCGTCCGAAAGACTCAACTAAATCATTTGTTGGAGTTTTTGTATAATGGAGAAGCACTGATACCGGTACGAATTTTAAAAGAGATATACTTTTTACCACAGAAGTAGAATATTTCGAAAAAAAAATTTTTTTATTAACGCATGTGGCTTAAAATATGCTGAGCGGAATCTTATTAAATAATTTTATTTTCAGTCGACAGAACTTACACCGTTGAGGGAACTTTTTGAGCTTCTTCAAATTAAGTCGGAACTATTTGAGCCTAATCAACCTCAAACTAGTAACTCTGATCCCGAGAGAATATCAACTCCACAGCCCTCAGAAGGCCAGGAGAGTTCCAGTTATGAATCCCAATACGATGGCAGGTTAGTAGATAGATGATTTATCGAATTTGTAAAAATGATAAGAAATTAGAGTTTAATTGTCTTGAAAATTTTATGCTTTCCAGACAGTCCAATAACCCCGCGGACTGTTGCTCAGTTCTCATTAAAACGGAAGGTTGCGAAGAGGAACCGGAAGTAGATGTAGAAGGTGTGGAAGGCGAAAGTCTTCTTTCGGATAACAGAGAAAGCAGCATAGAACCACCTAGAAGAAGGGATAGTTCTGATCCTGTTAATCTGAGCCTCAATTCCGGCACTTCCGTCACAAGTGACGGCTCGCACGATATAATTCACAGGTCAGACAAATCGTTGATCGTATTATATAATTATACAGTACTAGTATGTAAAACTTTTTATAAGTTTTACATACCGAAAGAAACGATAAAGTTTGTTAGTAAGATAGAAGAGAAGGTCTTCAGGTTTGTTTTGCATCATCGCAGGTCTGAAAAGCCGATATTCGAAAGGCGAGAATCTCTTGAAGAAGTTGAAGAAAGGAAGAGGCAGTTGGCAGCGCGGTTAGCATTAGGTTTAGAAGCTGGAAAGAGGAAACCTGAAGAAATACCAATCACACCTGCGGAAGCGTATGTCGTAACGCCTCATCGAAAACGAAGGCCAGGCTTCCACAATGCTCCCGCACAAAATCCGGCCTTTGTACCCTTCAATCCTGGATTCGAAACGCCCAGGAGGTTGCAAGCGCCACATCCCTTAAGCGTTTCGGCACCACCGTACCTGGTCAGTTATATGTCAGTTCAATAGCTGCTAGAGCTGCTCTCGATACATTTCGACAAACATTATTATCGACGTCTGCGATCAGTCAGTTTCTCAAACAACAAACTTATCTGACTTGGAACATTTTTGACTTTCTCATTCGAATATATTCGATAGACATATCGCATGTTTATTTGAGTGTTTCCTACGTAATTATTTTTGGTGGTTACAGCAGGACAGATCAGTTACGCCGCCATCTCATCGACCGCCGAGTGCCGATCCGGCGTCAGCAGCATCTCTAGAGCCATCATCTTGGGCTGCTTGGACTCTGCCACCTGCCAGAGCCCCACCGCCTCCCCCGTCGACGGACGACCCGCCGAAATCCACCCCCGTTCGAGAATATCGGTGCAGCTACTGCGGTAAACAGTTCGGCATGTCATGGAATCTAAAGACGCATCTGAGAGTGCATACCGGCGAGAAACCTTTCGCATGTAGACTTTGCGTTGCCATGTTCAAGCAAAAAGCACACTTGCTTAAGCATCTGTGCTCGGTGCACCGAGGTGTGATAGCGGCCCCTGACAATACGTTTTCGTGTTGCTTCTGCTCGTCGTCGAACTTCGTCAATCTGCAGGATCTCATCAGGCATCTCTCGGGACCGCACAACAATCTGCTACTCAGCAGAAATTTACATCGTGAATTTACGAATCATGAATAGCGACAAAGTCAAAGGCCGTCCGATGCTGAAGAGTGTTCCTCGAACGCGCAATGACAAATCCTTTGAGTGATTTATTTGATGCTCTCGGGATTTCATTAGATGAACGCGACTGAGACACAGTTTTTATTCAGGCCATTTTAAAAGATTAGATTATACAGGGTAATGCATTTAAAATTATCACCCTTCTTGCTGCTTTTGATGATACACAAAGAAATAGATAATTATAAAATAATTATATATTTTTAAATAGTCTTTATTATATCAGGAAAGAATAAGATGATATATTAATGATATGTCTTTTCAATCAGATGTCTTTTTGTTGTATCGTTGAAAGCAACAAAAAAATCTTTCATGTAATAATTTTAGATATTCCGCATATGCGAATTATTATGCTATTTGAAATAGTCTTTAATATTCGCAACCCATTTCTATGATATTTTGGTCTGAATTTAACAGAAAATAATTGCGTTTTTATTACGGGCGAAACACGATAAGAAACAAGGCAAGGGCAAGAAATGATTATCAATTTCATGTGATATTACAAAAATAAATTCACATACAGAATTTGTTTTTAAATATTGCAATTTGCTCTTCAGTTGTTTTCTTAATTGGTTACTATAATGAACTGTACATGAAAACCTATAAGTCCGTCTTTTTTTTTCATAAAAAAATAATAGGATGAAAAAAATCGATACACAACTGCTTGTCTTGAGAATAAACGTACATTATTTCGGTTTAGATCAATTTATATAAAATTTTTGAAAGAAAGAAATATATATTGATTAAAAATATCGAAATAATGTTTTATATTTTTTTCGAAGAGACAAAATGACATTCAGCATCGGAAAAGAGCCTTTTTTAATCTAAGAGCCTTTAATAAGAAAAAAAAAAAGAATAAGAAATCGATCTTATATGTCTAATATATATTTTCTCTATATATTAAAATTGTTTATATATACATATATGTATATATTATATATATGTATGTATATATTTATAAAATTGCGACCAAAAGTATCTTATCGGTATGGCACAAGCAATAACATCTTGATAAGATAACTTTGTTGAATAATCGACATGGTTCGAAATGAATATATCGGAATTAATTGTCGAAGATGATCTGGGAAAAGTACAAGGACGATAATGTGAACGAACAGAGAGTCAATTATTGTCACGCGCCAAATCTTGACGAGCTTGTAGAATCGAAGCCCAGTCTCTTTGTCTTGTTTGTTGTTATTTTATTTTAATCTGTACGCGCGCGCGCGCGCGGACATGGCATCCGACAAGAAGTATCTTTTACCTCAGCGCGTGCGACAAATCTCACAGTGTAAATAATGTTAAATAGGAATGAGCGCAGACGGATTAGAATTTATTTATTTCACAATATTGGGACCAACCGACTTTCCACCGATTTCTGTCTTAGGTAGATCTTAGGTGTCCTGCCCGCCAATCGCCACGAGCTAACTGCTAGCAATTAG